GTCGACTTAACCTCTCCTCATATGACAGGGTTGAGAAACCCTTTATTAGCTTAGTTCCTACTCTTTGCACCCTTTCTAATAAGTCAATTTCGTATTTGAAACACGGGCTCGCTGCCTGGATCCCATATTCCAAATGAGGTCTGATATAAGTCGGATATAATATACGAAATATATCAGCGTCAAAGTTCGCAAAAGCCTTGCGTATGGCCCATAACATTCTAAAACCCTTATTGGCTGCAGTTCTACAGTTTGTTGCTGTTTTCAAGTCATGCTGCACAACCACTCCCAAGTCCTTGTACTCAGTGACCACTGGGAGAGTAATGCCATTCATTGAGTAATTGTGCACGTGACTATGGGATACATGCATAACTACACTCTTGCTTAAGTTAATCTCCAAGGCCCAGTGCTTACACCAATCACTTAACAAGTTTAAATCTTCCTGCAAAGCAAGTTGATCACTGTCATCGTGCAAAGCCCTCCATATCTTGATGTCATCAGCAAACAGTAAGCAGGATGACTTAACTACCGATGGAATCTCATTAACATAAATCAGGAAAAGAAGTGGGCCTAGAATTGTACCCTGAGGAACGCCACTCTTAACCGATTCCCATGTTGATAAAACCCCGTTAACTCGTACTCTTTGTCTTCTGTCCTTTAGAAAGTCTTGAATCCAGTCGGTAACCACTTTATTGATTCCCAGACTACCTAACTTTACTAGAAGACCTGAATGAGAAACCCTGTCAAACGCCTTGCTAAGGTCTATGAATATGGCATCCACCGGTATATCGGTTTGAAGTTTCTGTAGCTGTGTTTATTTTACGAGATGGGGTTGCTAGCTCCATGCCCAACCTTTCCTCTTTACCAGCATTATTTCTGGCTTAGCCAGGTAGAGGAGTGCGTCGGCCGGGGATCGAACCCCGGACCATTTGCATGGTCGGCGAGCGTCCTAAACGCTATGCCACCGGCGCACTAAGTGTTAGCTAACTTTTTTCGCTACCTGACTGGAATGTTACTTTGAATATGCGTGCAGTTTTATCCTGTGTGTACATGATAATGCCTAAAGCAAAATAGGGATACGACATCATTTGAAATCGTATACAGGTAGTGATGTCAGCGTTCTTATTAGCGCGAAGTTGTAAAGGCACCCACAGGGACTTTCTGAGTAAAGGATGAATTAAATCCGGTACAATTATCGCAACAGTTCAAGATACAATACTACGTACATTTTCGATACTACTGCATCAAAACGTAATAAAAGCTTCGATTAACTATATTCTTCACCAAAAGCCTGGACATCATAGAACAAATAGCACAAGAATACCAGTCTATCAGCCTCGAAACAGTTCAATGCGTTGGTGCATTTCTGATATACATAAACATTGCTGAGTACTAACAGGAGAAACAAATTTGGTGGTCGGCTGTCACGTCATTACAATCGCTAAGAGACCGATGGAATAAATTGGGAACGGCTGCTTAAAGCGATTTTTAACGGTACTCTGGGGAGATAACAAGCGGAAAAGTCTAATCATTCATGATATCTTACCACACAATAGAAACCCAGCAAATAATTAATAAGTCATATTCCGTGACAGACTGCTGTTCTCTTCCTTCTCTAATCTTGAATGACATTTCGCCTAATGAATGACCTTAGCGTTGTGGTACGTTCTGTACGGTGTCGGTACTCCACATTAAAGCAAAATTTATCCTTCCAATTAAAGCAGCTTGATATTTATTTGCACTTAGAGCTTGGATAATCTAAAACGATTAAGATGCTTGTGTCTGAATGAACAGAGATAACCTACACTGCACGTGTAAAAATGTTAAGCTGACTTTGTGATCACCTGATTTTAAAAACGACTAGTCCTTTTAAATATGGATTTGAACCTGACATTTACCAAGGGACTCAGTGCACACTGATGGCACTCTACAAGAAATTATCATTGAGTGTCACATGGTGAATTTCAGCGGTAGTTATTGTTAGTGATAAAAGGGCACTACCTCTGGAGGAAACTGTGTTGGCACTGGGCACAATAACTATGATGTAATCGCCGGTCAGGAAGGACACAGTATCAACTTAAAAAGCAACATCTTATTAGGATTTTTCTTGCGTATTTATTGAATCTTCGAGTGATCGATTCTGAAATGCAAACAGAGGATAACGTTTGATACTTCATCAGTAGGGTCGATTAACAGAATTCCCACAGCAAATAATAAAAACAAGGTTTCACCTACGATTTTCCAGGTCTTGAAGTTTCGGTATACTGAATTCTTTTCTGTAAGGACCCGTAAGATTACTGCTCCTGTTCTATTTCCTAAAGAATCTTTTGCTAATATAGTAAGTAAAGCTGGATTGTAATGCATGCAAAACAACTCAGAGATAACCACAAAATTCAGTGTTTCGAAAGCCAATATATAATCTTCGCAATATCTCTGTTCTCATTCTTTTCTAGAAGGAGGTTTGATCAAGACCGAAAGTTGTATAGCAGCAATGGACAACTTACCTAAATTAGGGAATTTTAGGAAAGCAGTTTCGTGAGTTCTGGTATCTTGTTTAAAGCAAAGACAGTATCAGAAACTTAGGGTCTACCATAAGTAATTAACACAGATACACGATCTTTCACGTGTCGTGATGCTACTTGGCATTCTCTTTGATGTATTATCAATGAGTTGTGATTTATACACAAAAAAGGGTCTTACCTCCATAATGCAACTCCTCTGAAGTCATCGTCCAGACAAACACACATGAAGTACCGGACAAAAAAGTATTCAAAGTTGATTGGAAAAGAATTAGAGCAGTTTTAATTTCCAAAGGTAGTCCCTTGCATCGAAACAGACTTGAGGGCTTGTTGACTGTCAGTAGTTCTCGATCTTCTAGGGCTACTTTGACCTATACTTATGCATCGGCAAGATGTCATTTTGCATATCAACATCCACCACTCAGTATAATGAATAAATAATCTGTTACAGATAAAGGATAATGGTGCTGTCCACAGAAATCAGGCCATGCGGGAAATCAGTACAAACGTGTAAAGAAGCATTTTATTAGTTGGCATGATAAATGTATCAATGCAACCTTTTCATATAGATGTTGTAGTTCTTCAAAATGTTTAAGAGAGTGGCTGAGTCACTAATGCGTTAAATTATAACAGCCTTACTAAACTTGACCTGCCCGATTATGCATTAAATCGGCACACTACCTAAACTTGAAATGCAGATAATAAGGCACAAACAAAATACCCAGTCGTCCAATAATATGTTGTGGTGAGCAATACATTCAAACAGAATAAATTGTCATGATCCACTAGGTAAAAGATTTTAGAAATTATCTGACCAGCATGGGTAAACTAGGGACTACAAGGAATTCAATGCTGTCATCACAATCCAAAAGAGGAAAATGGCAGCCGGGCTTAGTCGGAATAGTACCAGCTAAAACAAAGACAGTATCACTGAAGATACCTGCAGGCGCATTAGACGCTTATTTTGCTGATGCCAAGTTAATTAATTTTGGTCTAATTATTCTGGCTGCGAGTTTGTTTCGGAGTCGTGGAAGTGGCCACTTTGCTTATTGCACTGGCTTATCATTATTGTTCCTTTCGGTCCCAAGTGCAACATAGGGGTTCAGCAATACATTACCACTCTTTCAGTATTTCCCGTCGTCTTCAGCTGGTCAGCCATACGATTGCCAAAAATTTCTCATCTCCTCGCACGATATCCTCTATGTTTTTCTCGCATCGACGAGTCACTCGTCACTTCCCATTTATATTCCAATCGAGCGATGATCAGCATTGCGCGTGACTTCATTCGACGGCCTTCTCAACGTACACCCGATCCATATCCATTTTTTGAGCGATCAGCTCTTGGTTGGTTTGTTCCAAGCCAGAATTTATTGTTGCTGATTCTTTCTGGCCAGCTGGTCATTTGATCTTCACTATGCAGTCAGCCAGCGAAGTCGAAAACTGTTTATGAAAGTTTTCAGTAACCTGTTGGAAATCCTTTTCGTGACACGCTAGCCAAGTTTCTGACCTATACAGAAGAACTGACTGACTTGACGTTGGTGTTGAAAATCGGAGTCTTGTTGTCTATGCTCATTGAGTGCAGAAGACTTCCAGACTGGTTTCAGGTTGATGAAGGCGTTTCTTATCTTTCCGATTCTAGCTGACTTTGATATCTTCATCCGTTCCGCCTGTGGTCGAAACAATACTTCCTAGAGAAGTGATGGAAGTGACCTCTGTCAAATTTCTCCCGTTGATGATGACTGGTGCTGGTGGTTGTTGCTGTTACTCTTGATTGGCTATCTTCATCACCTCCGCCTTTTCTATGTTTACGTGGAGTACTGTCTTCGCTGCCTGCCTCTTATACCAGTTTGTTGGTTTTCGCCTTCAACTCTTCGAGTGTGTGTCAGTAAACACTAATCAGCTGCAAAATCCAGATCTTTTAGAGTCTTCTCATCGGTCCAACGTATTCCTGTCTTCTCACTCCCACAGCCTGACGCATAATCCATTCCACTACAATTAAGAATATTATCAGTGATAAGAGGCAGCGAGCCTTGTCATACTTTTGTGTTCACTTCAAAAGTTTTCCATTGTGTGTCACCTTGTAACAAAAGAAGATAAGGGCCAGACAACAGATTGTTTATTAGGAAAATCAACACATATTTATATATTTTCATGTACATTATTATAGATTGTTGTTAGCAGAAATACACAGTCTTCTGATTGGTTGTTTCTCACTGAAAGTTAATCTTTCATCTCTTTGTGGCTGTTTCTTGAATGTCAGATCATCTATATGCTGATTGTATCCGCCTGTTCTTTGGGATATTCTCAGGGAGACACAAGTAGCGTCGAGGTGTAATTTTGGGGAGAATGATGATATTTCCCAGATTTTTAGGAAAATAAAGAGTTTATGTTACATTTCTTCTGGATTTCGAAATTTCAGCTGAATTCACTTACCGTGGAATTATCCGAAAACTCACATATTTTGCTCCATTTGCAGGTGCATTTCGCCAACAAGCGACAAGTGGGAGAAAATGCGTCTTCTAAATTCGATTGTTAGCCACTACCGAATGAATATTAAAGTTATAGGTTGTAGTAACAGTGCATCATCTGTTCAAATAGTCAATTTGTAAAAAAAGAAATCTGGATTCCATCATGAGCTGACTTTAGTTAGAAGAAAGAAAGGAATCTGTCATGATAGTCTAGAAATATCGAGTGAGAGCAACATGTATAAAATTGTTTATAAATTTTGTTTGAACTTCAGTTATCATGGTAAATATGGTGTACTCTAAAATCAAACAAATGTATTCTAGTTATACTTCAATACCTCACCTTATTGCAGTAATAATATATAATCTTCTAAGAATTCGGAAATCCAGGATTTCATTGCAAGAATGTTATGATCAATTGTATTTAATTAGGACTAATCGAATGTATAAAATTTTGAAATCAAGAAAACTAAGTAGTTTTATGAAAATACAGTTAATAGAACTAAACTGTACAGTGATTGCATTGGCTATTTATTGCATAAATGAGTTGGAACTCTGAGGTAAGTCAAACCAGGTACTCTGCTGATGAGTCCTTCTCAAACAAGCGAAATGGCCATCTAGTGTTTAGATTACTGCGTACTTATTAGCAATCACTACCGGTTGAAGTGAGCAGTATACAGCTACTCACCTCAACTAATTAGCAGTATGCAGTTTTCTGCACTTGTGTTTGCTTTCTTGATTACTATGGAACCGATCACAAATAGTAATCTGAGCAGTTTTGGTTTCTAAAGGAGACAGTGGTGAGATTTCACCTCCTGGAACTGTGTAAATTGCAAATTAATTTTCAAAGCGAGATTGAATTAGAAGGAATGTGGAACTTTCGTGTTATTTGAAATAAATATCACGGTTGTCGTCTAGTCTACCAAGCCTACACTGTTCGTCTTCTACCCTCTGATTCAGTGAATATATTGAAAGATTACTATTGTTTATCACTTGGATCACCTAAATGCTAAAAGAAAAGTTATTTCGGATTTAGGTTTTTTTTCATCGAAAGAAGTAACCCAGTTACAGAAATTCATTCATCTTCGAGGGTGCTTACAAGACTATGCTTTCTTAGGCGTCTACAGGCTGGGATTCAATATCAGAACCTTCATTATAAGAAAGCCTGTGATTGTACATTTAATACCAATAATTCTGAAAGTGCTGAGCATCAGTTGATCGAATCCCTTGGCCTAGTAACAATAAGAAAAAAAATTTCAAAACTCTAAGGACACCAGACAAGTATCATCTGTACGCTGAGCTATAAATCTTTACTATTCAGTAAAGAGAATCATTCATTAGCCTAGTGGTGAAGAATAGACGTATTTACTGTAAACAAATCGCCATGTTGTGATAATATGAATCATGTTTGACTGTATCTTTGCATTTATGTATTGCCGTTTCATTTTTTTTTAAAAACAACAATTGTACTTCATCCAGTTAACAGAATATTTTAAAAATACTTCACTGCAGCATTTCATATTGCTATGATCTGTTCTCATTTCAGGCGAACAACTTACCTTTGTGTATCATGTTAGCAGTCAAATAACAGTGACTTCTTCTCAATTAAGACTATTGATCATCGCTCACTTTCTCACTGCTCACAGATAACACATAATATCAGCCAAACAAATTGAAAAAAAAACAACAACAACTTTTCAATATTTTCGCTACACATTCGTAAAAATTTCTTTCTTTCCTGCTTGCTCTATTGGCTTAAATTCGACATAAGGTTTTCAGATAAAACTAAATCATCCACTGACACAAACGATATATATATATATATATATATATATATGAGACACTTTGTATTCACTTTTTGTCAATGCCAACTCGCAGTGAAGTATAATGAAAGCTTTCTGTGTCAAGAAAGTCACTTTACCATTTAAATCCAAGGGATGCATCATTGCGCTTAGTGGTTTAATTGTAATCGTATTTATATACTCCTTGTCTTTGTCACTGTTAACGACAAGTATAAAGAACGTTCAAAATATACACCCAACATTAACTGTGAGTCTTTTTTCCTGATTGGACCTAGGTAAATAATGTATAACATTTTACACTTGTATGGAGAATTTTCATGTGTAATATAAAAATAAGAAAAAAAAACCTCTGAGAGATTTACCTATCGATTGCAATTATCAAACAGGCTCAGGTGAGCAAAGACACTATGAGCCTAACTCCACACATCTTTGGATCTTGTTGTTATACTATGATAGCGTTGTGAACATTACTGTGTGATAATGTAAAGATTACTCGTAATGTTTAATAAGATAGAAAAAAAAATAAGAAAATCTAGGACAGGATAGCTACAGCGAAGAGCAATTATGTATAAATACGGAATGTTCAGTTTGTTTTTATAGCCCGTATTCCTAAATAGCCAACCACTATTTCCAAGGTGGATGAAAAAGCATCATACATGTGCTGTGAACTTTCTTTACACTTATTCGCGATGTAACTACACTAGTAGACGAATGTGGTCAGTGGCTAGGTTCAAATTGCACATGGCTCAGCTGCTTTTAGTCAGTGCATTTTATTAGCTCCTATCGATTGAGTATTCCATCACCCATCACTTGATTTTTTCCCTGTCCGCATCATAGCTACATAATAAAGGAGTGTCATTTTAAAGGTGTCTACGATATGTTATAAATCACAGAAGTGAACTGCCTTCAAATAGAAGACTGAATAGCTAGGTCAGTTAGAATACCCACTTAAAAACGATGAAAATCTAAAATAATAATAAATTGTTACAAAAAATTGTTTATCAAAGAGGATTTATTTTCTGAGTCGGAGGAGTGTGGAAAGAATAATGTCGGGAATAAAGCTTTTTTGAAACTTTTGTCTAATTATTCTCATTTAAGACAGACAATCGTTAACTTGTCGTAAAATTTACATGCAGTTCTATTGTGGATAAAATTTATTTTAATTAAGTCTCACAGTGTTGTAGAGTAATATTAACTGATGATGTTTCGAGCACAAATTATTGCCACTCATAATCATATCAAGTTACTCACACAACTTCTTTCCTTCATTTATATACATGTGTGGAATCGATGAGATATTTGAATAAAAATCAATATGAGATGTACAATATGTACATTCGGAAATAATAATACGAGTGTTATTGATCAATTTACAATCAGATGGGAAATAAGATGAGTGTTTTTATAATCATAATAAGTAACTTGTTAGAAGGTTGGGATGTGCTTGAATTGAAATAGAATTTTAAGATTATTTATTATCCTCTTCTGATTTGACTGACTGGTGGTAATAATATCTTCCATATTTCTGGTATTAGCATTGAGTTATTTCTGTTGCATGCGTTGGGCGTAGACTCGATGAATAAGGATTCTGTAATCAACGCCTCTCTCCACCTACCTATATTACTTTTCAGAATTTTAACCCCATCCCACCCTATTGTGTGGTTGTGTGTTAATGCATGTAGCACAAGGTAGTCCTGAGCTTTTTTCTAAATTACTTATCTTTCCCGGGTTAACCATTCTTCCCTGAGCTAAATTCTTATGTTCCTCCAATCTGACAACCCCTGACCTACTAGTCTACCCTGCTAGATTACTGAATTCTTGTTCATCGAGTCCACACCCAACGCATGCAACAGAAATAACTCAATGCTAATACCAGAAATATGGAAGATATTATTACCACCAGTCAGTCAAATCAGAAGAGGATAATAAATAATCTTAAAATTCTGTTTCGATTCAAGCACATCCCAACCTTCTAACAAGTTACTTATTATGATTATCAAAACACTCGTCTTATTTCCCATCTGATTGTAATTGATCAATAAAACTCGTATTATCATTTCTGAATGTACATTATCTCATATTGATTTTTATTCCAATATCTAGTCCATTCCACATATGTATATAAATGAAGGAAAGAAGTTGTGTGAGTAACTTGATATGATTACGAGCAATAATTTGTGCTCGAAACATCATCAGTTAATATTACTATGTAACACTGTGTGACTTATGAAAGTAAAATCTTATCTATAATGGAGTTATACTCTACCACAAAACACAAGTTCTATTCTAATATCAAATTTATATGCAACTTTTAATGCTATCAGTATATAGCTCAAGGATCAAGAAAGAAACGGTCGTATCAAAACCTACTGGTTTTTTATGTAGTGATAAGTAGGCTACAGTAAATCTCTGGAAAATGGATAAAGAAAACGTACAAACACGACACTCCCGGGTGTGGTAGAAAATAGAAATTTCAGAAGACATCGAATATATATGAGTATATTCCTTGATATATATATGTAGCTTCCCGTTTTTCTAATTCTTACTATTACTTTCTTTCATACTGCCAGAACAATGGAATTCATATTGCCACACTAATTACCAGTGAGAAAGACCTGAGTTACATTGACGTATTGATTAAGTCTATGATGTACTATCAGAAACGTTTCCATTGTCAACAGAAAAGATGCTGTCTGGTTGATTTATGCCAACGAATAACGAATAAAAACACCGAGTGTTTGGATAAAAAGCTGACTAACGGTGCAATCACCTTTCATCTTCTTATCGATAAAAGTTCACGAGCGAAATTACAAACAATTGTGAAAAATTGGCATCTGAATAAAGTGAATTTCGAGTTCTATGATTATAAACCTTATTTGGTAAGTTTATAAAGACAATTCTTATTCTGTTTTATTTATTTTTTTGGACAATAAAATAATGATTTTTTACTTAGGTTTTTTTTCTTTACATTCACTTTGTGAAATTCTAAAGTTGATAATTACTGATTAACACTAAAGACTCACAACACTCATGACGTAAAAAGGCTAATTTGATAGGTGAATACCTTCATTGTGAGAGATCACTTTCTCATTATAGAGTATTGTTCATGCTGATAGCAGTGAAACCCCAGTTTAGCAATTTTTTTTCAGCAGCTAGCGGTAAAGCGTAGAGTGGACTTTTTGCCTTATCCTTCTGGTACTTTTGCAAGTTACTTTTCTTGTTGGAAATTTGAATACGCAATCACTTGGTTTAGCTTCCATAAGATAACTCACAAACTAAAGAAAGTCAGAAGTTACTGAATTAAACGTTCACTTATCGTCTACCACAATTTAAAGGTGACAATCAAAAAAAGAATTCAAAGTCCATCAGTTAGCAACTAGGAAATTATGCAAAATTTATGCACTATAGCCATTACAGACTCTGAAAGTTTGAGTCCCTATAAAATATTGTAACTTAGTTGATAGAAGATGGTTTGAAAGGTTTCCGTTGATGTATTTCGGTCCATTGCTATAACAAGATCCAAAATGAGTCATAATTAAGTATAGCTGCATCTTCAAGCTTGCTAAAGGTCATGTATAGATAAACAAATAAACTTTACATAATTCGATTCATTTATGAATGTGGATAGGACAAAATTGAATGGCTTTATAGGAGGCAATACATTCTTGTATTATAGGCACAAGCTATAAAGATTAACATTGGCTTTTAGAATATTTATAAACACGCTTGAAATCTGTGAAATGTTCTAGTCATGAAGTAGAAAATCGAATTGTCTGATGATCAGTTGTGTAACATAACAATAACATAAGCTTTATTCCAAATCAGTACTTGTGATACAGAATGGAATTCTCAGCACTGGAAAAACGTAGAAAATTTGTTTGGAACATAATCATGAACATATGCAGAGTATTATTATTAGTATTATTTATTATTATATTCCTTAATTCCTAGAGGAACATAGGGCTTCAGCTAAGCGTCTCCATCGCCTTCGGTTTTCTGCCAACTTTTTCACTCTGCTCCAAGTCTGCCCACATGCTTTCATCTCCTCTTCACATCACCTCCTCCAAGTCACCCTTGCACTGACGACCAACTCGCCGCCCGCTTCCCTTTCGGGTTCCACTCGAGCGATGCCTTGTCTAGTGATGTCACTTGATGGTTTACTCAGAGTATGACCAGCCAATCCACCTCCATTTCTTCCTGCCTATTTGTTGCACAATCGGTTCCTGGTTGGTTGGCTCCCAGAGATCCCTGTTGCTGATCTCTTCTGGCTGGCCATCTGATCTTGTGTACTATTGAGCGAAGACAACTGTTAATGTTCAGAGTAAGGATGGAATATATACATTGAATCAATGAGTTGTAATCATAGTTAGAAGGTATACAAGTGTTTTAATAGAGTGAAACTTATTTTGCTAAATTATGAGAGAAGTACAAGACTGAAATAAAACATTACAGTAAAACAGTGATTGCAATGGCGACACTCGAAGACTAGTCGTTGGCTCTTTTCAGTACAAAGATCATGTTTTAGCGACTAAATTGCAATGCTTTTTGAGAGCATATCGAAAATAACAGTTCTAAATAAATTGCCTGCGTTTGTCAGTGCCATGCCGGTTATCTAGAGGATGACGGTAGATGGAGCTTTTAGTTTTCCTTTAATTCAGGTTTTTCCTTCATGATTACCTCATTTCAAATATGCTGATTTACAAATAGTAATTTAAATTTTTAACCTTTATGACTTGCATTCAGCTGAATGACGAAAATGCCATAAAATATAATGAACCTAACATATTCAATGAAATCATTCGTTATTGATTTATTAAACCAATAGAGAAACACGTTTAACAGTCGATAAAATATCTCAACAGATACCTTATTCTACTTACTCTATGAAATCACATAATTTTCTTCATTTTTAACAGAGTAAACTTAACTGGATTTTATCACATCCTCCTGCAGATATTAAATCCTGCACAAAGTTGTTACTACCGGAGATTTTACCAAGCTACGTTAGACAGGTAATTTTCAACCCCAGAAACTTTTTTTGGACATTTATATAAGCCGCACACCTGATATCAATGTTTGGCCTGTTCAATTTGGGCTACCGATATCACATGCTGAAAATTCCATACTTGTATCAAAAATACTGTGTGGAGTCAAGCTATAATAAAATGTAAAACAACAAGTAAATGCAGGTTTTTATGCCACAGATAAACATAATAAAGAGTAGTTTGAAGCGTTATTGTAAACCTTTTTGAAGAGGAACACTTTGATGACATTAAATTATTTGTAGTATATTCAGTGTTAATATTAAAACGGAATTTTATGCACTACACACACGATATTTACCTAGTAGCATGTGTTACTACTGAATGCTTACCAGGTTATGACTAACATAAGGAAACTTATCCTCTCAGAAAAGTCTTTTAAACAGTTAGGTTGTTTTCAGTCATCACCTAAAAATGAAACTTCATGCATTTATTCCCCTTGATGAATTTGAATAAAGCGAGAACAACAGTGGTTTGTGCAGAATAATATGGTACCATCATTTATTTCGTTGGCTTCTCATCAGCTGCTGATTACAGCCTAAATAAATTATGAGGTTTAAGTACAGAAACGTTTTAACATACTTGCAAATTTTACATGTTGTCAGTTAACAGAAAGTTCCACAATTAGTAAACAGTGCTCAGAAAATTGCACTTGTATAGTTTTTACACAGGGAGTTCAAGTTAAACCTAAATAAATGTATGCATATAATGGTAAGGAGTTACACAATAAAGACGAGATGTGCGTTAGATGCATAGTGACTAATAAGTTAGGCAACAATGTACTGAGTTGAACTCAAATCATAGAAACAAGAGACAAGCAAAATTACAGATTATAAAAGGAGGGTGAGGTTAAAGACAAAGATTACGTAATCAGATGAGAGAAAGAAAGACATCCAGTTACCAAGGCAAGGAAAGACTAATAACTGCTTCTTTCTGAACACATAAATCTGGTTTCAAGCGTTTGATAGAAATTGCTTCGGCAAACTTGAGGAGAATGGAGCTCCTTTGTCTATTGATAATTTTAAAGGATTTCGCGAATTCCACTCCATGACCCGTGTCAAGGAGATGTCTGGTAACAGCGCTACTATAAGAATTTGTTCCCTTGAGACGTAGGCTTTTCGGCACATGTTCAGAAAATCGGAGGTGTGACCTTCTTTCTCTTCTCCCAATGTAACTGCTCCCGCAGACACACGTAAATTTGTATATACATTTGGAGTTAACATGAGAAGGATATCTATCGACTTCTGACTGCACCTAAAAATGAAAGCTATTTAATCCTGCTACGTTTATTTCTGTGAATGACCACTATCAAACAGTGTACTGCTTTCACAAAATAAGACAGTCGGAAAGAAGAAATAGCACAGATTACAGAAAATAGGGACATATTAATCTGTAACACAGGTGCATTAATATCTAAAGAATAGATTTTCACACATCTCACATACACTTATATCAAATGAACGAATCTAACGGCGAATTCTATTTCTAGAACAGCGACGAAATTCCTTCTCCAACATATATTTTATAAAATCTAAGTAAGTAGTGGACGATTTCTTAAATTTATGAAACATACAACCAGGTATTTTAAAGATAGTTGTTTCATTCCAACTTCATAGCATTAAACCTTTTTGTGCTGTTGTGCACCTTCTTCAGCTATCCTAATGGGTTCCGATAAATGGTTATGGTTACCATGTGTACGTAACATTGATTTATCGGACTTATTGTGCATAGTCAAAATTTATTAACATTTTATTGTAACCTTTTGCCGAAATCGATTAGTGTTGCAGTCACAAATTTTGTTATTTGCTTGATCTTATATTTCGAATAACACAACAAACAGAATCTACCGAATATTCCGAATAATGAATCTCCCTTTTTACAGGTTATTTCTCTTGATGTCGACCTAATGTTGAACGCAGATATCAATGAATTATGGAACCGTTTCAGGTACTTCAGAGGTTCTCAAGTAAGCAAACCCACTGTAAAACAGCTGCCTTTCAGACAATCGCTTCTAGATAGGAAAAAATGCTGCACCCTACTGGTCACGACATTCAATGGTTCTCTAACTGATGTCAGCTCATGATGAAATCCTGTAACCAATCAACCAAATCCCTACAAACCAATACTTGAATAAGTGATCTTCGTTTACTAGATAATAGTCATTACCATGACTCAGTACTTTCACAAATGATAACAAAAACTGTCTTCTTTTTTCCCTCAACCTAATCGAGACATTTTATTTTCACCTACACTAGCAAATGTAAATTACTATTCACAAATGTTAATTACCTTTAAGGTGATCAACATCACAAAAGTGATTAAATTGATTGGTAGGATGTGTTTGACATTTCCTCGCTTACAATATTAGGCTAAATAAGAAGAAATAGCTTCTGTTTGTCAACTCGGTATACTACAGATTCGCATGTTTTCATTTCAAGTAGCTTGTTACTTATGCTTTCAGCGCATAACTTTTCTATATGACATTCTGTTGTAATTATTTGTAATCGTAGTATTAGTATTTCGAGATGACTGAATTACAAGAATTCAACCAAAACACAGAAAGAGCGGAATTCAGGAATTTGTATTTAGCGGAATTATTATTCAATTCATATAAGAAATATATTAACAATCAACAGTAAGTATTTAAACAATAGAGAGATAGAAATAGTCAATCACCACACATTCATAACACGATAATTTTGAATATAAATTAGATCAAACGACTTATTTCAAATACCTCTTTTGTGCTGTATGCTGTAAGCTGTATGCCTTACTATTCACAATGAAATGAGTCGTCATACAGTCTTCGCAGAGCTATTCTATCTCATCATGTGGATACAGAACACAAGATTGACGTTAACCATGCTTACAGGGTCATCTACCGCATACCTACGAATCTCAATTTCGCCTTAAGAGTTTGACTACTAAATATTGATTAGGTTGTGGGGATCCATAATAAAAAGCCTAATTTGTGCATCCAAAAGAAGTTAGTTCAGACATTATCACTACTTTGGTCATCTAGGTTTGAATGATTCTGAATTTTGTGGAATTTTCCTGATTTTAGTTGATATTCTATTTCCTATTATATCTTTATTATCATTCTTATGATTTAAGCATCTTTAATGAACTGCGATTCCATTCATCTTACTTTACAAATCGATATTATTTAAAAAAACACTAGTATTGCTATTGTCTACTAATCTAGAATATTCTATGTATATAAACATAGATACAATTGTAGAGCCAGAAAAGGAATTTATCGAAAAGGATATTCTTTGCTCGATTATTTTGCATTTCTAGGGATGATCACTCTACAGAAATAAGTACCGCAACATAATTATTCAGTAACAGAGGGGCAGTAGTGGAATCATGAAAAACTTCCGCAGTATTTGAGGATTGCAGAATTCATATTTATAAAGACTTTCGTTACGTTTGTGTTGGAAACTTAAATGTCACTGAAATAGGACTTTATGAGTAACGCTTCTTAGTGTAATTCACTATATGTAAGAATATTTTTGTACTTTAATAATTTTATTACGTAACAATCAGTAACAACCCCCCGACACCCACCCCACCCCCATTCATGATGATGATGATGTAGAGGTGTGGAAATGACTGATTCGTCAAACCCTTTCCTCATCATAAGTTGTCCAGTGCTGTTTAGGCTTGTAGTGAAAAAAATACCTTGGAATGTAGCAACAGTGAATCAGACAGGAACTGTAATTGGTCATAGGCTTATCACAAGATGCCGATTGATGATTCGTCCTAATGATCATTGCCACCTGTTGATAATAGGCATCTATCTCTGTGAAAAAGTGAGTCACACTGTTTATTTGTTTTCTGTTCATTTTTCAGATGATTGGTTTGGCAATAGAACAGAATCCTTATTTTGAGAGTGTAATGAACAGTTTAGTTAAAAACTGGAAAGTAAGTTTGAGTAAAATGTTTTTTTCACTAAAATATCGACAGTCTATATAATTTCACTTGACCCCAATGGGAGTTCAGATTTATTATCCAGACAGAATATTCATTCCAAAATGTTTCCTGATCAGTAAACTTAATTTGATAACACAAAAGACTGATTGACTCGGGAATACATGCTTTGACAAGTTGCAGTCTCAAACATCTCGCATTACTAAAAAACTACCAACAAGCTTTAAGACTATATTTTTTCATGTTTTACTGATTACCTCACCTTACCTAATTGTAAAAAGCACTTCGGAAGTGATCTAGAACACCCAACTCTACTGTTCAACCGATTTGTGTTGGAGATAACGTTTAGTGCATAAAACTGAATAATGTAAGGTGAATAGTGTTTGAATATTTATGTAAAGTGTGGTAATGAAAGACTCATTGGAATTATCTGTCTGTCTGTTTGTTACATTTTATTTGTTGGCCTCTGGGTTAAGTTAACAAAACAGTTTGCCTATGGACAGTGTGTGTGTGTGTGTGTTCGTTTATAGAACCAATAACAGCCAACTTTATTCTATGCAAGACACACTTTAGTACAAAGCCACTTGAGAACTAACCTGAAATTCTACATTTTCACTCAAGTTACGTCTAGAAAGAAGTTACATCTGTCAGTGTTTCGTTCAAATGTAGAGACTACTGAAATGGGTGAATGGCATCTGATTTATAACAATATTATTTTCACAAAACAATATAGACATCATCTTACTTTTCGACACACACACACACACAATCTACAATTCACAGTCCATATAAAATTTCGCATCTGATAGGAATATACCTTAGATTGGTGGGTTATCCACATCCAGTCGAAATTTGTCATTCCTTAAGTGCATTCGAATTTTTGTTTGTTTGAATGGAATTTTAGCATGAAACGTTAATATCAATGAGGATGGTAATCATCCACTATGAGTCATGTCATTAGGATGACCACTAATAAACATAAATAAATGAAAAAGGCATTTCTTAGACTCGATGCATCCTACTGATAACTATGTACCACGGTAACTTTACTAACTAACTGTAGGTTAGATCAACATAGAAAACAACTTCGACTGTAGGCCGTGTGTTAGCTTATCGAAGGGGATCATGAATACTGGAAAAATGTGCTTCGGAAAGAAGTTTCGAAGTTTATTTCAGTTCATTAGACATCACCTTTCTGATAAATATTTTCTTATTATATTTGCATGTATACACTATAATAAGATGTATAAGAAGTTGGCTTTCAAATGAACATGTGTTTTGTTTTAAAAGACATCTTTACCGGAAATAGACAGTTTTACGTGCATCGTTTAGCGTTGACCTTTTCCTCTAATTCAAAAACATTTTAATTTATGGGTAACAGTATCTACCATCCCAAACCAGAGATAATCAATGCATTGAAAGCTAAGTAGTCGTTAGCACAAAACAAAATATCAAGAATAAACAGGAGAATACTCAATAAAATGAATGATTGTGATTGGTTAGCATTTGTGAGTAAGAGGCGCCAGTAAAGCCAAACACGAGGAGTGTAATAGACATGAGCACAAATAGACGATTTGGCATCACACTGCCTTACGGCTTTCAGATTTAATACATAGTGCAACTGAGCGCATTACGAGCAGTGTGCCTGCTGATGATTGATACTGGTAGATCAGCAGATGTTGATGGATTATTGATCACAAAAAAAAACACAACTAAAACCACTCTCAGTGTATGATTTTAAGACTATTTTTGAAATATAGTAGAATTCATTCAGTAGTCATAAGTGAATGAAATTCAGGTTAATAGTGTCTAATAAGAATGACAATAAATGTGAATCACTAAAATGACAAGGTCACTTGAATAATATTCATTAGCTGAGCAAAGTTTGCTCATGTCTGTCAGTTCTGAACAAATTCTTTCATTCTTAAACGCGTAAGTATAGTCTTCGTTCAATGTGAATGATTGTCAAATGAAAATAGGGTAATTCTGTGTGCACATCATGAGTAACACTGAATTACGATATTCTTAAATGCAACAAACTGTGTTAATAGAATAATTTAAATATTAGAGATGAATGAATCTGGGGTTTTATTCTACCTTTTAGACAAGGTTTATATGGTTGAGCTATTTCACCTATCTCTAACTAACGTTTACTTGAGTAAATGAGAATTTCTTACTCATAAGCTACTACCACCAAAGTAGTAGCTTAGCAAAGTAGGTAGTAGTACCCCTAATTAATGCTTTTAAGCTCATCTATTGTACCTGACATTTGTTTTTATAGAATACAAGACTTAGTTTGTAGGGATCTGATTGAATTCAAGTTATTTCACAAACCTGGTTCCGCTGATCAGTTTGAACAAAGAAAGAGCTCCTCCTTGAATTTCACGACTTTTCTTCAACTGCTAACAAACTAAAAGTAACGAAATCTCAGCACGAATACAGAGGGATAGTTTCGAATATGCCGGTTTACGCCGTCTCTGGCGTAAACGTGATATCCGACTGGCTGTTGAACAAAGGGCGGGTGTACTGCTCATCAGTCCGCTCCTTCCTCCTTTCTGGCTGTGAGACCTGGCCATTGAGAGTGGATGACATGAAAAGATTAGCTGTCTTTGATCATAGGTGCCTGCGTTCTATCTCGCGTGTGAAGTGGTATAATAGGGTGAGCAATATTTAGATTAGGCATCGGTCGAGTTCTAGGTAAGGAGGGGAAATCAATGGACGAGGCTGTGAAATTACGTCGACTGAAATGGTTAGGACATGTGTTACATGTGCCTAGTCATCGCCTTCCTCGACTGGCGGGCAATGTAAGCTGACATAGGGTCAGGCTGGAAAACAACTAGCGGCGGTCCAAACCAAAGCATGTCACCAGTCAATGAAATCTACAACAGTTAGTTTAAGCCACCCACGTAGAGAGGTGTAGACTTGCTGACTGGCTCGGGTCCTGAGGATGGTAAAAACCAGTGGTTGGAAACAATTGGTGATATGGCTCAAAATCGTTCTCAATGGCTGGTGCAGATGCATCCACTCCTCGTGACTTATGATTTCGAATGAAACTATATTGTTCTTCGTTATTACTATTCCTTTGTCTCACACCTCTGTTTACTGTCTCTATTATGCATTTCTTCTACTTTCTTCTGTTGCTTTGTGTGGTACATGGAGGGAGTGTGTCGACTTGAACTTCCGCACATCTGTGCAAGTTTTATGTCGAAAACAGATAGACAGACAGACAGACATATAATACTTCAAAAACGATTCCAACTCAAAGTGCAGTTAGTAATTCTTGTCATAGTGATAGAAGAATTATGAATAGCAGACACTTAGTAACCTAACAACCAAAGTTTATTTTTGCATAGTATGATGGAAATTTTGAGTGGACAGGGTAGGAGTTAAAAGGTATAGTAAGCCACATATATGCATAGTCGACTGGTACACTCTGTAACCGAAAGGTCATAGGTACGTACTGCTAAAAATCTCAAATTAGGATGAAACAGTTGTCTAGTACTTTATGGCTTTCATTGTTCTTATCGTACCGAAATCCTTCATTTATTCACTTCATGAATTGTCGGAAAACTGCTAGTCACCTCAGATCAGTTCTGGTCAATTTATAGTAGCACAAAAGTAGATGGTTAAGTGCTTTATATTTTTATATTTTCCTATCGGCTGATGTTTGTTAAACTTTCACTTAAATCCAATAAGGTATTCAGACGTGCTAACAAATTCGAGTAGGATTATATTGCGAGGAGTCATTTGTCAAAACATTCATTAAGTTAAAATAGTACTGGATATATGATTTCTTTATTTTTAGAATCCTACAGTGAACTGTACTTCATTGAACTTAAGGTTATTTATTGCAAAATAAATTGCCTAGAAGTATGCATCAAGTGTGTTTGCATAGAAAAGTTGTCAATCCCCAAAAGGATATTCAATAAGCTGTATGCATTTGTAAACCGATAGTACTCGGTCCAAAAGAAAGGAACCGTACGTTCTCTCCTTATCAACAAACAGTTACTTTCACAAAATGAATATCAGTGAATTTGAGGAGCCAACACAGTTAAAGTGACATTATTATATTTTGTTGTCATCGCCGTTTCATTTATTTCCACTAAAGATTTTTCACTTTAGTAATTTCTGAAGAACTGGTTAGTCTAATAAGGTTTTAAAAGGTTCGAATTCTATGTGGAAATCAAATTATAATAATTATTATTATATCCTTTGATTCCTAGAGGAACATAGGGCTTCAGCCTCACTTCTCCATTGCCTTCGGTTTTCTGCCAACTTTTTCACTCTGCTCCAAGTTTGCCCACATGCTTTCATCTCCTCTTCACATCACCTCCTCCAAGTCACCCTTGCACTGACGACCAACTCGCCGCCCGCTTCCCTTTCGGGTTCCACTCGAGCGATGCCTTGTCTAGTGATGTCACTTGATGGTTTACTCAGAGTATGACCAGCCAATCCACCTCCATTTCTTCCTGCCTATTTGTTTCACAATCGGTTTCTGGTTGGTTCGCTCATTGCCAGAGATCCCTGTTGCTGATCTCTTCTGGCCGGTCATCTGATCTTGTGTACTATTGAGCGAAAACAGCTGTTAATGAAGGTCTGAAGTTTGTTTGAGGTGCTCTTTATGACGCCAGTGCAAGTCTCTGATCCGTATAGTATCACTGACTTCACATTGGAGTTGAAAATCCGGATCTTATTCTTGATGCTGAGTGCTGTTGACTTCCACACAGACTTAAGAGTAATGAAAGCTTGTCTTGCTTTCCCGATCCTCGCTTTGATATACTCATCAGTTCCGTCGGCCTGTAGTTGAAATGATGCATCTCAGGTTCATAGGTAAAGGAGGTTTCTTCTTTCAGATTCCTCCCATTTATACTGATTGTTGTCTGTTGTTGCCGTGGGTGTCTCTGTTGGCCAGGAATCTTCATCACCTCTGTTTTCTCTCTGTTCACCTGAAGTTCTATCTTCTCCGGATGCTTCTTCAGCCAATTTGTTGCTTTTCAATTGCATATCTTCCAGTTTGTGGGAGATCAGACATATCTCATTGGCGAAGTCCAGATCCTTCAAGTTTTCTGTGCGAGTCCATTTTATGCCTGTTTCCTCGCTTCCCGCCGTCTGTCGCATTATCCAATCTACTGCAGTCACGAAAATCATTGGCGACAGTAGACATCCAGCTTGCCTCACTCCCGTCCTCACTTCGAAGGCTTCCGTAAGTTTTTCGTTGTGGATTACTTGACATGCAGCATTGTCGTACAACTAACTGTTGGATGAGATGTATAATTGTCGGCGCCACCCCGTAGTAGCGAAGTAGTTGTCAAATCACCTCTTGATCGACGCTGCGCTATCAAAGGCCTTTCAAAGTCGATGAAGTTGAGATAGAGAGGTGACTGTCATTCCAAGCTCTGTTCAATGATGATCCGTAGTGTAGCGACTTGATCGATGCATGACTTGTTTGTCCTGAATCCGGCCTGTTCCGGTCGAAGTTATTCAACCAGGGCTTGTTTGAAACTCTCCAGGATGATGCGGCTTAGTATTTTGCTTGAGATGGACATGAGCATAATTCCGCGCCAGTTCTTGCATTGACTTAAGTCTCCTTTCTTTGGTAGTTTGAATAAGTATCCTTTCTTCCAATCCTCAGGTACTTTGCCCTCCTTCCTTACCTTATCCAGCAATGGCGTCATCAAGTGCGTTGTTGTCTCTAGGTCCATTTTCAATGTTTCTTCTGGGCTTCCCTCTGGTCCTGTTGCTTTTCCAGCTTTTAGCATCTTGATGGTGGCATCTTTGGTGGAAATCAAAGGAAGAGAACAATCTATATATGTTCAAACCAAATTCACTTTTAATAGTTTGAAAGACATTTGGGCATTGGTTACGTGATATTCATGATAATAAAGGTTTTTGTATTTCCCAATGGATGAAAAACGAAACGATACTGCTGTTTTTACTGACGTTTCGCTATTTAAGGGTAATAGCTTTATCAAAGTATTTTTAAACCAGAATTTACAAAATCTCAACTTATATACAACAACTTAATTTAATTTTTAATTTTAATTTTTGACTTACAGCTTGATTTCACTCTGTATTTTTGGTACAAGTATGGAATTTTCAGCGTGGATATCGGTAGCCCAAATTTTGCAGGCCGACCATAGATATCAGGTGTGCGTCGGCGGGGGTTCGAACCTCAAACCATGTGCATGGTCGACGAGAGTCTTAACCACTGTGCCACCGACGCGCATCGTCCATCGGTATGGGGTCATTTTTCCGTTGTCAAATTGACCACTTGGTAAAGATATCGAATCCAACAATCTACACCTGTCTTTGTTAAGTGCGTAAAATTATGAAAGCAGAGTGTGTTTATATATCGAACTTGCATATCACATTAGTGTTGATTTTTTCATTTCATGAGAGAGAGAAGGGTTTTAACCAGGTCGAATTCTGTTTTAGTCCATCATGCCTATTCAGTTCAGACAATTTGGATTCCATTTGATATGAGGTGCTTCTGATATTAGACGTTCTTTATGATTTCTGAAATTTCTCTGGATTATTTCAATATTGTCAAAATCAATTTTGTGGCCTGATTCTATAGCGTGTAGACAACTACGGCTGATGATTTTTCAAGCTTTTCTAGTTCAATTGGATTTCTCGGTGGTCTAACAGATGCGCTACGGAGTTCATTTCTTCTGATTTTGATTTTTCTCTGGTGATGCTTGTCTGATGTATATTGCATCACATTCCAAGCATTTTGTTTTATAGACACTATTAGATAAAGAATCTTTAGGGATTTGGTCTTTTATATGGATAAGGTTATTTCGCAGTGTGTCTGATGTTTTGAAGAAAGCTCTGATGTCGAGTTTATTTAGTATTCTTCTGATATCGTCTGACGTCTCTGCTCTATGTGGAATGACAACTGTTGTTGTCGGAATGCGTTTTCGACCACACTTACTGCCAGTTGTTTAGATTTCTGTTTAGTATGTACGAGATGACTGGATGAACCTTCACTGATTTCTACACTTCGTTTTACAGTGTTTTGTGCGATTTAATCTGTGCACTTCAAGGAGTATCGATATCACTATGAAATGTTACTTAAGTATCTCGGAATGACATTTTTCTTGATTAGAAATTATCTTCAAAGTAAAATATTTAAGAAATCTTCTAGACTTTTAATATTTCTTCTTTTCTCTCTTGTTTCTAGGGATATGGATACAATACTGGTGTTATTTTACTGAACTTGGCTAAACTGCGTTCTGTACCATGGAATCATTTATGGATGAGTGCTACAAAATTTATTATGAGAAATATGGGCTATTTAAAAAATGCAGAACAAGTTGGTGGAGTTTTTAGACTTGAGTTTTAAAAATTCTTGAAAATTCAACAGTTTAAATAAAATTGTCAACTTTCAGTAGTTTAACTAGACTGAAGTAACAACTTAGCCATTGATGGAATTTCCCCTTAAATGTGCAATTGACATTACACTGATAAACATAATGTTTGATAGTTTCTGTCATATATGAATAGAATTTAGATATTATGACAAAGTACACTTATGGGTCATAATCATCATCTCAATGTAATGAGCAATACAGTATACCCGTAACTTTGAAATAAAAACCCCAATGGACGCCCGCGGTTATTCAGATTTTCACTCCATCGTCAATGATTGCTCATTAAATTAAGAGTAGTTTACCAGCCGAAGACTATGCTAAATAATCTCATTATCTTTTCCTTGGATTTATAAATATTTGACTATGCTCTGAATATGAAGTGTTAAAATAAAAATTGGCGAAGTGTTGATGGAGTCGGAATAATCACTTTTTGTGTTTTTCCAGTTTATGCATTGCTAACTGCTCATCATATTAGACCAACTACAAAAAGTGGCATATCGTCTTAAACAAACTGTTTGCTGACAAAGACTTCCGAGAGAGAGAGAGAGAGACTTGCCTAATTTTACTATTGAGGTTTTGCATTAAGGAAGGGATATGACTGGTTATTAGTATTCTGTACGAATAGTGCTTAATTGGTTCAGTGGCAGAATGCTGCATACCAGATGGGTGACCTCGTTTATTGCCAGAAAGAAAACTTTTCAATTGAGAGGTCCCTTCCTAACAACAGACAGGTATAATATTAGTGCTGACTCTCCTCGACGAGACGTTATCGTAATTTCTGGCACCATCGTCCCAGTGCACTTGGGGCGAAGAGATTGAAGGAATGATCGAAACATTCTGGTCGGCGAACTGATCTTGAATTATTATACATCACTTTTCCAATCAAAGTGCTGATGACTGCCAAAGGTAATCGGTTTGTGTGATATTGGTGCTCTGCAGACTGAAAACGAAATACACCACACGTGAAGTGGTCACATGGAGAATGACAACAATCAGGCTTTAGTTGCTTTTACCCTGACGAAGTTCAACAATAGCGTCCCAGGAATGTGAAAGCTCCGATGATTTTGAACGCATGCTAGTCGTTGGCTAACGGCATCTGTCGTTATCACATCTGAAATATCAACGCTATTCACCAATTTAGGAGCAAATTTCACCCAGGTCACGTTTTTAAGTACTGTTTGGACAATATGTTAATAGCTCGTTAGGGTTAGGATTAGGGTTAAGGTAAGTATTGGGTTTAGGGTTAAGATCAGGGTTATAATTAGCATTGGGGATAGAATTACGGTTTGAATAAGGGTTATGATTAGGGTTAGGATTAAGGTTAGGTTTAGTGTTAGGGTCAGGATTAAGCTTATGTTTACGATTAGGGATAGATTTATAACTGATGTCATTTATTTTAATTTATTTTATCATTCACGTTTCCTTGCTAAGTAGTCGTCTATCCTCTTGCTGGAAACCATAATAAATCAACCGAGGGCTTTTTCGGAAGACTACAAACAGGATGAGAGAGATAAACGATTCACAAAAACAGCTCATCTTCAGTCACCTCGGTGAATACATGTAAAGAAACTAGTCTAACTTAGCAACTGCTACTCCTCATTAAATCTGGGAAGTCTTTTTAAGTCATTTCAGAGAAAGACAACCTGTTTAATGTGTTTTCAAGCATTTTCTTGTCAATATACATCATTTTTTTGAGCAAAGATTCCTCATTTTTATGATTGGTCATCTGAAGGTCACTCGTGTGTTCGCCCTCCTGGGACGCTATTGTTGAACCTTGCCTGATCGCCAACCACGACTGTGATTGGGAGTCAACTCCCGACCGACACAATTCTAAACCTCGACTAGTTTATTAGCCCATAGCAAACTCGGTATGGAGGGGAGGGTGAATGTATGGTTAACAACCTCATTCATTCGAGTAACACCACTGCTCCTGAAATCACAATGTTTGCAGTCCTACATTCATTCGAAATGCAAAGAAATGGGAAGAATTTTGTGTGAATTGTTAAAACATTTGTCTTACTTTTCATAACATGATAGTATTCCTTTGCACTTTTGTAATATGAATCAATCTGCTACCGATTTGTTTCAGTTTTTTTGTTTTGTTTTGTTTATGAATGCATCTGCTTACTGGTTTCTGTCTAATCTGCCTACCATATCTCAAGACACCTTGTACTTTCAGAATTCGAATAAATAAAATACAGAGGTTTTCTGAGACACAGTACAGGTTATGACCGTTTTAATTTTTAAGCTGACTATGAAACACTAATTCATACTGTCGGCATTTGTTTATGAAACCAGGTTCACCGACATGCAGTAAACCAGTGAAGAAAGAATAATAAGTGACAAGTTGAATAAAGTAAAATTGCACGGAGGATTTCATCATGAGTGGAGATCAGTTAGAGAACCACTGGAAAACCAACTGGGAGTACTGCACAGCTCTTTCGTCCTAGTTTTGGACTCTTCAGCAGTCACCGACCATTGAATTGGGTCCAAAGGGCTCAATGGTCTGCGAGCTAGCTTGCTTTGTAATCAGAAGGTCCTGGGTTCGAACTTCGGTGGGTGCGTACTGATGAAGAGTCCCAAACTAGGACGATATGAACAGCTGTCCAGTACTCCTAGTTGGTTTTCCAGTGGTTCTCTGACTGATGTCAGCTCATGATGAAATCCTCCATTCAATCAGACAAAATCCCTACTAAACCAATACTCAAGGTAAAATTCTCATTTGTCGTACATACATGACGCCACTGACAAAGCACAGTTATTTTCCCCACTTTCAGTAGAGAAATGTTTACCTGTTGTACGGCGTGGAAACATGTCGTATCTGGTTAGACTAAATTTTAGCATTAGTTATTGCTACAAATAAATTAAAGTGCAATCAGTGAAAATCTTGTTATTTTGTATTTCACATTCTTTGTAGGATATCATCAATTTAATTGCATCAAGAAATATCGAATTGTTTTATGAAATCCCCTGCGAGTGGAACATTCAATTAAGCCGAGGTGTTGAGATAAGAAGGTGTCCAGTTACCTGGATTACAAAAAATAAACAAGTGAATGATGAAGAATTATTTTACAGGAATCAGCCTAAAATTATTCACATGAATCATCAAATAAAGCCAGAGGATATTGACTTGAAAAATATACTGAACATCGATTTAAACACCTCAGATACGATTTATAATGGTAAGAATCATATACAAGCATCTGTAAATTCTTTCGAAATTTCATGGTATGCTGGATTTCTAAAGAAAAAGATTTTACTTCCTGGGTTACTGATGTTTGTAGGCACTGTCACCTTAACCTCGATTAGAATTTAATGAATTTATTTTTGAGTTAGACGGTTAGTTTAACTATTTAAGCATGCCACTGATGAACTATAGGGCAGGATTAGGCAACAGAAATACTTTCTGAGTGGTATTTCCTGCACTTTCATTGTTGACTCAATGATGATGTGTTCTAAAACTACATCTTGCTTTCACGAAAACTTGACTGTCATTATTATTATTATTATTGAAACTAGATGAAAAGTGTGTGTCACTACACAACAAGAGCAAGAAAATAGCATTAACCTAATCAGTAGTAATTCAGTCGGTAGTGATTACACATCACAGATGGTGTTTCTCAATGAATCAATAAATTCAACAGACAGAAAACTGTCATAGAAAAAAAGATGGGTAGCCTAATGATAGTGACCAGATAGTTAACAGTGGAAGCAAAATCGATGGGATCATAAAATAAGTTCTGATGCAACTTTGAATTAAGATAACGAAGGTGTCAGCTCAGTGAATCTACAACATATACTCGTCGGCAGTTAGGAGTCAACAGTGTTTCAGCAGCAGTTCAAATCTCCATAATTCAGAAATGCAAAGAGAAATCTATGGGGTGGAGGGAAGGCACATGGAAAAATAAATGGGAATTTATTAGACATGGGGGTCTATAAGGAGTGAATACATTTACATCATTGTGAATAAGGTCCATACATTCATTGAGACAGAAAATCTCGTTGTTCTGTGTCACACACGTTTTAGTTCAAGTTGTTTAGATGTAGGGGAACTAAGATTTTAAGAGAAACTTCGTAAAAAGCTAAATTTATCTTTCAAATTAATGAATCAGTGATTTACAGTTACTATCAAAGAAGCATTGGATAACGCTTACATTCCACAAAAGAGCTTATAATAAGAAGAAGATAAACAGGTGAAAATTACTAATGTCCTATTCGTTCCGTTACCGTCTCTTTGGTTGACTATATGAAGCATGAATGAAATGAATTTCACATGGTAAATTTTCTGCGCCTGATTCATTACACAATTGTGTAACTAACAGAAATGATTGTTGAAATTTACGATTTGCAAAATACACACATCTCAAGCTGAGTGTTCACCAGTGTTTCTTTTGAAAACACAGTCATTCATATCACAACATATGTGATCAGCTTGAAAACATTAATGGAAGTCAAGAAGGCAACCGATACAGCACGATGACATGTACCACTGAATGATACTGGTAGCTTGGAACGATACACATCAAGCTGTAATCCTTGCCAGTAAAGTAAAAATGATCTGCTCATCGGACATCCACTCACCTCAATTGAAATCAAGCGCGTCAGTAGTGTACACTGATTAACTCAGCTCAGAGAGACGAAACATTGCAAAACACCACCTCCTTATTTTCACTGTGAAGCTTTTGGACTATAGTTAGTTCCATTGGGGTTGTAGGTGTTTACTGTTATGAAAGGTGGGACATTTCTATTATGAATAATTACGCCTAAATAAGGAGTAAATGGAAATTCATATTCAGAGTGATAACATACTTCGTCGACATCAGTTACTTCCTCTAAGAGAAAAGTGATCATTGTTATGACAGTTTTAATGTGACTTCATCTCATTACTTGGTCTTAATACTATTTTGGTATGCACCTTTTTGATCAGATCTGTCAGGCTTCCATACAGTAGCTGTTTAATATGCCTGGCTGAGCCATTCACAAACAAAATACCGATCAGAGTATGATTAACAGAAGTCATGCTTAAAATTTAATCACTTTCCATTGTTAATTTATCCAGACAAGACTGAATTGAATGTCGGCAGCTGAGATTTAGGCTGCTTAAATGTGGGTTGGTTTAAACTTACAAATTCAGTCCTGTTAAACCCATCGGGGGAAATGACAAGTACACATAAATACAGATTATCTGTGTTTTAATCCCAGAATATCAGCAAAAGACGTAACAGTCAGATATAAGAGTTTGTCTGGATTGTTTGATAGTAACCGTCATCAAAATCGCAATTCCTATTTACAAAATGACAGTCTCTGACTGGTGTATCTGTATGTTGTAAGATGAACTCCTCGGTAGAACTGCCAGCCTTGTGAAATGCACGTTCACGTCGCTAAAAGCATTGCTTTCGATAATTTACTCCTCAGGTTCTACAGCTGTAAACCCATGAATATTAGAAGACAAATGGCCAGCAAAAGGCGAGTGAAAATTGTATCATAAACCGTATTGCGGAAAATATATGAAACGGAATGATAGTTTAGATGGTTGGAGGCAATCGGCCATAGGAAGCCTTGAACCTAGGTTTCGTGCCAGTTGGCACTCAGCACGTCAACAAGGCGTATCTGCAACCTTGAAGGAACTCATGTCCCTTCTGAGATTCGAACCCGCGTCACCCAGAGCTGCAGTCAGAGACGTTAGATTGTCTAGTCAAATGAATGTGTATAAAATTTGCAGTCATTCAGAATATAAAATGATTCCCAAACTAGGATGAAACAGCTGTCCAATACTCCTGTCCTGGTTTTCAATGGTTCTCTAACTGATATCAATCCGTGGGTGTCAAACTCGTAAAACCAAATTTAATCCTTACAAACCAACTCTTAAAAATGTGAATAGACAAATGAGTGACATACTAATGTGTTTATAGTCAACAAAATATGAATTTCACCAGGGGTTAGTGAGTTATATTCAGTGGTGTGCGAGAAATATGATTACCGCAAAACACCTGCAAACAAAGACCAACAAATGAGGAACACCGAGTGTAGGTTCAAGTTATATTCAATTAACAATATTAACTAACGAACTGTCATTTCATTTTATACACTTACCCCAATACACTTTCTGATATAATATTCACTTCACCTTTTCTGGTCATTCATGGGTTTAAAACTGCATAGCCTAGGGAAGAAGTCATCCAAAACAACTGTTCGCTCAAAACCATCTTGTTTTGACTACACTCTGAGGATTTTTAATTTACTAAGAACACCTAACTTAACTACTTATTTAGTTTCAGTAGTGAGACAAAATAAACTAAATTACCTTGGTGTCATACTGAGGTTCTGATGCCAAAGCTTACAAACTTTAATCCTCTTGTGTATCAATGCTAACATGCATATAAAGAGTACAATGTTTTATCCTTCTAATTCTACCATGTTTCCTTTATTCCCACCTACCTAGCTGATCTACTTTACAAGAAATACCTCAAAGAATATTTTAAATATCGACATGTCAGTCGACAATGTTTTTATTAAACAAGAAAGATTTATTCAATCACCATCACCTTCAAAGCTAATTCTTTTGCATATGTTTTGTACATTTATGAAACTTGAATACTTACTCTCTTACATAACCAGTAACCAGTTAAACTAATTCCTTATCAGCAGCACATAGTGAAAAAAATTGAATATAAAGCAACGAACGCAGTTATCCGTTTGTACTTATTTCTAGCTGTTGACAAGAGACAATTTCACGTATTCGGCGGCCGGATATAGAAAATCCAAACAAGTGACACAACACAGAAGAGACTCTGCTCAATTTTATATTTATAACCAAGCTGTGCAGTTGTGTATACGAGAAAATTTAAACATAGGTGTGAACAAATAATAAAGTGATAATATAATATGAAATACAGTTAAATTAATTGTTTGTGATTATAATCCCTAGTTAAATAGATATCAAGTGGCCAAACAAATAATGTCATATATTCATTCATGTATTCACACCTTTGTTTTAATTCCTTCAGGGAATAAAATAAGAAATTCTTCGAAAAGAAAATTTCTCTAGTCCAATAAAGAAAAATAGGGCATAATTTAGGTGACTTTCAGTTAAACCGATGCCGCGAAATACACCGTTGAATAATTTTCCTTTTTAATTATTTACGTTTGGAGTGAAACATAGGACTGTCAGCTAGAGGTCTGAAGTCTCACCAGCAGTGGTATTCATTTTTACGGAATGGGGTTGTTAGCTTCATGCTGGCTAGCCTCAACCTTCCCTCCTTACCTAGTGAGATAAAGGATGCGTCGGCAGCTGATCGAACTCCGAACCATATACGTGGTAGCAGAGCATCCTACCATTGTGCCACCGACACATAGTCAACTAGTTTAATCCATTCTCTTTCAAATATCAATCCCAATAACTCGTGAACTACTGCTACTACTACTACTACTACTACTACTACTACTACTACTAATCAGCAGTCAATACTGTCAGTTCGCATCCACATCGACCATCTTCTTACACTTAATTAGGTTCAGGCTCACCGTGATTAGTTTGTAGAAAGAAAGACTGAAAGATCTGTTTGTTGACGTGCCTAGTTAGACCTTTTGGAATCTGATAATGGCAAACAGTTGGTTCACATCACATTGTATGCTGTTCAGTGATTTTCCAAATTAATTAATGTTTGTGAGAGATAAAAGTCATGTTAAAAAATGAATGACCTGTAAGTTTTAGTACATTAAACTTTACACTGTAAAGGATTATTGTTAAAGTCTATTTGTATATAACAACTTAGCCTGAGCGAACTTATTAGTTGATTTGTTTGCTTTTTGAGTTTGATCTCGGTCGGATTGATATCAGTTGGAGAACCATTGGAAACCGACAGTGAGTATTGGACAGCTGTTTACACCATCCTAGTTTTGGAATCATCAGCAGTACGCAACCACTGTCAGGGTTCGAACCCAGGACATTCCAGATACAAGGTGAGCTAGCCCGTATACCATTCAACCACTAGGACCCCACCCGATTCAATGGCCGGCCAGCCCATGAATTCTAACTTCTAACAATTCGTGATTTAGAGCGACAAGCACCAACCAATGTCATCCATCAGTGGGACAATCATCCTCACACTTGACTAGATGGACCTCACTGGTCATGACTACTCACTAGAACTTCGGGAAACTTAGTCTTGAAGCAAGTCACTAGATACCATCAGCTCAATTTTCAAGAATTGCTTCCTAAGGATTAGATCTGTTTTTACAATTTTGGCCATGGATTGATATAAGTTAGAAGGTGTGAGTACGATTCATTTGTTCGCTATGTTAGTTACTTTAACCCCATGAACTGGAAGTAAATCGTTAGACAACATGTTCTAACCTACAATGTGACACCTACTTAATATGTGAGTCGTGATTTCAACCTGATATACTACTAACTATGAACACTACTGAATACCCTAAATCATGTAACATAAAATACAGAAAATAACTGAGGGAGAGTAACGAAAGTAGCTGTTCAGTCACTGCATGCAACTAAATAAAAGATAACAAATATTTTTGAAAACTGTTGACGATACTTTAAATTGTGATTTCAAAAAGAGATCAAATAAATAACCAAATGGTTTTACTGAAAAATACAGTGAGTGCTAAAAGAAACTGCCTTATCAACAAGCACGTCAACTGTCACATAAGAAACATTGTGAATACTGATGCGCCGAAACTGACACATGAATACCGATTAGTTCTTTATTTACACAGATGAGTTCTGGAATAATAATTTACGCATGACATTCAAACTGTAACAACAGGAAGGTTTTCGAGTGCATCGCATTTCAAATTTTTCATTCTTAGGTTTGACTAATAAACTCAATGGTCGAATAACAGAGGCCACACGCTATTTTGACAAACTCCTAAAAGCTATGAATAACTTTTCCCATTAGATGGTTGGAGGCAATCGACAGGAAGCCTTGCACCTAGGTTTCGTGCTAGTTGGCACGAAGAAAGGACTAGAAACGTCACACTAGTTACTAGTGTCCAATCAAAACTTCTTCCATTATTCAGTATCGCAGCCACACTGTACTGAGAACATTGTATTTACTTGCCGTCCGTTCAAAGTTATTGTGCAGTTTCGTTCTTGAATATATAAGATAATTACTGATTGCTCTAACACAAAAATTGGTACTGTCTTAAGTGGTTGCCACAAGGAATTTTTCAAACTGTACAAGTGTCATTTCAGGCCTTCGACTATCCATGTTCCCTAATCAAATTAAGAAATATAGCTAAGTTAAAGTGCTCTTAGGTTCCATTTAGGGTTAGAAGAATATTAGCATGAGTTGAGTTTATTATGCTTTAAGCTTGAAAAGCTTCAATACTTTTGTGGTAGGCAGAAGCGAAATGGCATCAAACAGAGAGGAAACTGCAGTCTTCGTAAAACGCGTTCATTAATTACTGCAAATTCTTGATTATGTTCACAAAAATAAAAAAAATAAGTCAGTCTGTGTAATAAAGCTTAAAATAACTAAAATAGATAAACAACATAGGATGGTTTCTCCTATTTTCTCCAACAATATAGAAATAAGTGGCTTGCCTTAATCTCGTGATTGAATCACAAGAATACGTCTAATGATGTAAAACATTCTGCTAAGTCGCTCAAAAATATACATCATTATTGAATTAGAATTTAAAGACAGTCATTCTAACGACTTTGAACTGTTAAGCAACATGCCCTATGCAGTCAGCCTGAGGAGAACTATGTTTGAACTCATTAAATGCTAACAGGTCGAGTTTTAGAGGGTGTCACAGACCCTATCAAACCATCTGTGTGGTATTACCCTACATCCTTTCACGTATACCTCGCCAGATTACTAGCTTGCTAGGCTACTAGCTTCCCAGTTTTCTAGCCGGTCCGAAGCCCAGGTAAAGAGGGAGGGTTGAGGCTGGTGCTAGCAACTCCACCCCCGTGAAACAACCAAATCGCTACAGAGACTTCAACGAATAAATATATTAAAAATCCTAAAAACATAAACAATAGCCTTATTTTTCGCTGGAATCGGGGAAGTGAAATGACGCAGGCTGGTGAAAGCCCTCCGGAAACCAGTCAGCCGATGTGCCTTCTTTCGATGAAAGCAAAAGTAAGGATGAGTACCTGGAATGTTCGCACAGTGTACGAAACTGGAAAGGCTGCCCAAATAGCCGCTGAAATGAGAAGGTACAGAATAGAAGCGTTGGGAATCTGCGAAAGCAGATGGAACGGAACGGGAAGGTGCCAACAACCAACTGGAGAGACATTAATCTTTTCCGGCCACCCAGAGGACAACCACGAGCACACCGAGGGAGTGGCTATCATGATGTCACCAACAGCAGCCAAAGCTCTCATGCAGTGGGAACCAATCTCCTCCAGGATAATGACAGCCAGGTTCAACTCAAAAGGAAGGAAAGTTACAATCATTCAATGCTATGCGCCTACAAACGTCTCAGAACAAGAGAAGAAAGAGGCGTTCTACAGACAACTACAAAGAATAATGGACAACGTCTCAAATGGCGATATCAAAATCCTGTTGGGCAACATGAATGCGAAGCTGGGAGGAAACAACACAGGAAGAGAACTCACCATGGGTCTAGAGGCCCTCGGTTAAATGAACGACAATGGTGAAATCTTCTCAGACTTCTGCGCCTTCAATGATTTGGTGATTGGTGGCAGTGTGTTCAAACACAAGGATATACACAAGGTGACATGGATTTCACCAGATGGAAACACCAAAAACCCAACAGACTTTATTTCAATCTGACGAAGCTTATTGGACACAAGGTCAAGGAGAGGAGCAGATGTGGGTTCAGACCACTACCTAGTAGAAGGGACTTTCAAGGTGAAGCCAAAAGTCTCGAGGATAGCTGGGGATAGGCCACAATGCAAGTTCAACACTCAATTAATGAAGGATACAACCACAAAAGACACTTTCACTGCAACTGTCAGAGCAAAGCATGAAACACTACGCGACATCACTGAAGAATCATGCGTGGAAGAACATTGGAAGTCTCTGAAGGCGATTCTCAACGAAACGTGTTCAACGGTTCTAGGAAGAAAGAAGAGACAAGACAAGGAATGGCTCTCAACGGACACTTGGAAATTAATAGAAGAGAGGAGAATGGTGAAAGAGAAAATGATTCAATGCAAGGACGGACAGGAGAAGTAGACGCTGAGCTCAACGTACACAGCACTTGACAAAGAAGTGAAGAAGAGTGCTAGGAAGGACAACCTCACCATTGAAGCTGAAAAGGCAGCAGCCAGAAAGGACCTGAGGACATTATATCAGATAACCGAATCTCTATCCGGAAGAAATATACAAGCGAAACCTATAAAAGACAGCCAAGGAAACCCAATCACCAAGGAAGAAAAACAGATTAAACAATGGGTGGATCACTTCAAAGGACTCTTGAACCGACCACCACCTGCAAACAGTCCAGAAATACCAACAACAGCACGTACACAAGTGAAAGTTGACACTGATCCTCCAACGAAAGCTGACGTCTTGAATGCAATCAAGTTTTTGTAAGCTGGAAAAGCAGCTGGACCAGATGGAATACCCCCTGAAGCACTAAAAGCGGACCCAGAAACAACAGCAGACATGCTAACTCCATTATTGCAAAAGGTCTAGAAGGAGGGAAAGGTGCCTACTGACTGGAGGGAAGGTTACCCC